AGGGGCTTCATCCTGACAACAAGTCTATGTCAATCCAACATGATCAAAATAAGCATGTGGAAGTCTACAGACATTTCATAAAAGAGTACTACACATGTTTCAAAAAATAAAGACGTTGTAACCAAGGGACTAGCCAATCTCTCATTTCAAGCAATTACAAGCAAGTTGGGAATGGATAATATCTATAAACCAGCTTGAGGGGAGTTTCAAGAAACATATGATCTTTCGATTCTTTGAAAGTCTTTGTACAACTGTAAATATATAATTAGTAGTCTCCTATTCCTTTTAATTGTTGTCAGGTCGATCCTTGATTTATGGGGGATGACAGAATAATCTAACTCGCATAGGTTAGCCTATTCTTTCTGTCTGTTAATGAGATGCAGATTATTTCTTTTCTGATTCCTTGGCAACAAAGTTGCTTTTGCCTGATACCCTCTTTCTTTCTTTCTTTCTTTCTTTCCTGATGCTTCTTTTTTCCGATTTCTATCCTTATCAGGATGATACTCTTTTCCACGTTCTTTTTTGTCCTCCGTCTTCTTGTCTTGCAATTTCCTACGTTCTGTAACCAACCTTGCAATTTCTTCTCTCTGCTTTCTTTCCTTCTCCTCCTCCAGTAGCTCCTCTAATCTAGGCTGCCTCTTCTCAGATATTCTGCGGGGCTCTCTCCTCTAATATCATGAAAATTGCCTCCATTCTCACCTGGCTTATCCAATAACGTTATGAGCTTTGGATAAGTTGAAATATCATCTCTGGACGAACTAAGCCTAAAATCTTCCTCCAAAGCCACACGATACTTGAAAAGAAAGCTGTAAATACCATGTACATATATGTATGTGTAGTTATATATAATAATTAAAAGATAACTAACAGGGAAATGGAAAAGAGTACTATATTTATAAGCTAACCTTGTTGATAGACTCTTCAGTCTTCACGACAACCTAGTAACCATTTACTAGCTAGAAGAGCCCAATAATTGGGAAAATTTTCAGAAGTTCTAATAACACGATCAAAGAAATCCCAAATTTATATTAAATCAACACAAAATAGAGTATAAATAAAATGCATAAAAAGCTAAAGAAATACTTAAAAATAAGAAAAAAGAACCATAGAGCCACGGAAAAGCGAACTAGGGCCTGGAACTCAGTTTCAATTGGGCAGGGACGACTATCACCAGTAATGAGTTCGAAAGAGTCCACTTACATGCTTCCAGATCAAAAGTTATGCCTAACTAAAATTCTGCCATCACACGATACTTTTAGATTTTTGACCATCCAAATGCTCCAATGCTTTGGGACAACGAGAGGAAAGAATTCTCAGAACCAAAGCAATAAATTGATTGCGATATGTCCCAACTAGTTGCAGTCTGATGGATGCTAAAAGAAGTTTCTTCATATATGATTTATCTCTTTAAGAAAGAGTTCACACACAACGAACAATGATGCTTGACCCTTATTCCATTTTCCCCTGCCCACTGAGGAACAAGAAAGTCTAAGTAGGCTATCGTTTCTTGCTCAAAAAGATTCATGACAAAACACTATAGGAGCTATGACAGAATGTTGGACCACAAGATGAAATATAGAAAATCAGACAACTTTCAACCTAAGCACTATTTTTTTTTAAATTCTGACCACTTAGTTTTACATTTCAATCACCTTTATCTTTTCTGTGAAGGAATTGTGGTAAAGTCAGGTGACTAATTGGCTTATTAATTAGTTGTGTTTTTTGTTTACTCGTGTGGAATTGCACATCATTTATGTGAAATTAAAATTTTAGTTCCTTGCAAGTAAACATTGAGCCCCTGTTAGGACCCCATTTTCCAAAACTCATTTTTTTTCAAACTCATTTTCAATTACATAATTCATGGTGCCCACAACTTTTATCAAATTTTTATCTGCACATTTCATCAACTTTCATCAAAATCAGCTAAAAATTTGAGTGTAGCTAAACCAAACAAGGCTGAATAAATGGTGTATCTAGGGGAATAATCAGGGATAGATTACATAGATGGTGGGTACACATCTTGCTTCCGTTCATGTGAGTAATGAAATCTTAGTAGAACATATTTAGGGATAGACCAAAACTTACACTGTCTATTGTGGTGGTTAAGGATGTTGCTTTTGACCTTCGATAGATGTAACAATCAACCGAAGTGGAGCAATGAAAAAGGATTCATATAACCACCCAAAATATGTAGGGAATAGGGCTTTGTTGTTGTCTCATAATTGCTATTTACACAAGGAGTTGTATGTAGGTTATATTTATTTAGCAAAAAGTGATAACTCAATGTGCTGCTTTTGTGAATAAGATAATTATAGTAACAATTATACATGGTGGTTGTGTTGTGTTACAATGGTGCATAGTTGGTTTCTACTATATGTAGGCAATAGAGAGTGTAGCCATCTAGGCTTGCTTAGTGAAGTAAGAAAGAAAAAAGGGATGAAGATTAAGCATGTAGAAACCTGGCTATTATTATACCTATACTTCTAATGAAGCACGTCTTATGGATGGAGATCATTTGTTCGAATAGTCTGAGACGTAATTAATATGCTTCATACCTTTTTATGTGCAAGTTCACTGTGCTGTATACTTGTGTTATATCCTTAAATGGCGTGTGTTCTTTGCCTTCTTTGCTTTTCTCAAGGTATAAATTTCACTGATTATTTTGGACATAAATATGTTCCCATACCTTGCCCTCTTTATTTTTGCATGCATGTATTGTGTGCGCCTTTAAATATTTCTGTAAACTATTGACATTTTGTAGGCCTCTCCTTTTGGATCATTTTATAAAACCGTTGGGCGTTGACCCCCCAAAATGAAAGAAACTGAAAGGAAATCTGATGTTCACTGAATGAATTGTTTGTTGGGTTAACTAATTTGCCTTCAATTCTCAGATGCTTGAATTGCGTTCATGACTGAGCCATGTTTGTTTGTAGGGATTTAGGAAAATTGATCCGGAAAAATGGGAATTTGCTAATGAAGAATTTGTGAAAGGGAAAAAACATCTTCTCAAGAATATCCATCGCAGAAAGCCTATACACAGCCACAGTCAACCTCAGGCTTCTGTTGATCCAGAAAGAGCAGCATTTGAGGAAGAAATCGAGAAGTTGTCACTTGAAAAGACTACTCTTGAAGGAGACATCTTAAGATTTGAACAACAGCAGTCTGCTGCAAAGGTCCAGTTGGGAAGCCTAAAAGAACGTATAGGTAGCATGGATCTGCGGCAGGAGAGGTTGCTGACCTTCCTGGACAAAGCAGTTCAGAATCCTGATTTTGTTGTACGCCTGACTCAGAAACTTGAATCCATGGATTTTTCATCATATAACAAGAAGAGGCGACTCCCTCAGTTTGATGACGCCCCCCAGACAGTTCAGGAAAATATTTATGTTGATAATCACAGCTGCTCTATGCCCGAGCTTGGGAGCATTTTTCACCAAGACTTTTGCAATAAGCTCAGGCTGGAGTTGTCACCTGCTGTTTCGGACATCAATTTGCTTTCACAGAGCACTCAAAGCTCCAATGAAGATGGGGGAAGTCCAGAAGGGAGGATGGAGGGATGGTCCAAAGATTTGCACACTAGGGCTGGGGGTGTTTTATGCGTCCCTGAAGAGTTAGACCTATCAGATTCATCTTTGTTGTGTAAAGCGGGACCTGAAAGCCCAAAACTTCATTCCTTGCAGCAATGTTTGAATGCATATGATGAAGGTGAAGGTCTTCTCTCATGCCAACTAAATCTATCTTTAGCATCTTCTTCTTTGGAACCCGACAAAAGTAAAAACTCAGGTAGGATGGCTCCCCCAGGCCAGGAAATTGGTACAGAACCAAGGTCTAATAATCACCTAGATATCAGAACTCATTCTGATAACGATCCCATTTTATCTTCCCCGGTCGAGGGTCATCACGAGAAGCAAGCACCAGCAACTGTCCAGAACCAGGTGAATGATGTATTCTGGGAACAATTTTTAACTGAAAGACCGGGATGTTCTGATACTGAAGAGGCTAGCTCCAAGATTAGGTCAAACTCATATGATGAACAGGAAGAGAAGAAATCAATCCAGGTAATATCTAGGAAGACACAGAATGAGGAGCATCTTACTCTCGGATAACCATAGCTGCCACTCGTCCCCATCACCACTTTCAAGGCTTCTGCTAGTGTTGCTTTGTGCTTTGTGGAAATACAAATATAGGTAATATCGTTTTTTTCCCCTTCATAATAAGTCTGTTTTGCTTATATTATGATGATAACGTGGTCCAAGAAGATTAGATGTGTGGATTTATTGATCACGATGGCTTTATAAGTCTCGTTTAGTTGATTTATAAATATTGTAAACGAAGTCCTTAATTACTAGCCCTATAAACTATGGAACATGAGCCAGATATCTATTTCTTAAATTTGCTTGTGTATTAGGCACTCTGTTTTACACTGGGCTACATATCCTGTATATCTTCTGCAACTATGGCTTTGAACATTTATGTATATAGAAAGTGTTAACGACTTGTGAACAGTTGTTTCAATGGCAGTTCATCCTAAAAGACTAATGCGTTGATAAGATGGAACGACTTGAATGGCTACTCCTTTCAGTTAAAAAGAGCGCTCAATTTGCTTAGTGGACGAGTCCTTTTAGGACAAAATCAAACTTTCGAGTACTGTGACTACTTGACCCGCACGGTGCCCTGCTCCTAAGGGGTTGTAGATTTTCAGGTTAGTCGGGTAATTGGCGTGCAGGCTGGGCAAAATCCCTTGTCCTGGTCGGGGTTTATATAACTAAAATTTTGAATAATATAAAAATAAAATAACAAAAATTGAGAAACAGTGTGGAGAATAGGTGTTCCAGCCTGCCCACCGCCCATAAGCACGGATTGGGGTTGGTACAGTCTACAGAGCATTAAAATCTCTTGTATGTCCGGATAAAGGAGAGCTGCCTTGATCTCGGCTCATCCTTTTCCATTTCTAGCTCTACCTTCCTATTCAAAGCATCAACCTTCAATATATCAACACTAAAGACATTCAACAAGGGAATTAACCAATATTTTCTAATTTTTACCTCCAAATCACACGATTTGCAGAAGTCACGATGTCCCCCTTAAAATGACGGAATTTGCTGGCATCTCTACAACAATTTCTCTATTAACAATATTACAGATGGACTTCAGAACTATATGACAAGATCACAAACACACATGTTTTTAACCACCTGTATGGACCTAGGAACATAATAGACCATGCTTGCAAGTTTTTTTTTTTTTTTTTCACCGCTATTAGATCTTTATGAGTTGTTGGAAAAAATCAGAGCTTGTTAATTATTTTGAGCACTAATTCTGAGTGGTTTGTGTTGTGTGATTTTGACTATATTTCTCATTTTACGAAATCGGTGAATTTTGGCTGTTTCTCATATTTTCTTTAAATTTTACCCTCCATAAAATAATAGTTCCGATTAATATATTTTGTTCAAAACTAATTGGTGTGTGTATAAATTCATTTATGTAGAAAAACTATTTAAAAGTACAAAATTAACTTCTAATTGTAATATTTACTCATTACTAATAATTACTTGTAACTTATAATTATAATTAAATATACTCTCAAGCATGGGTTGGACTATTCTAAAAAGTGGAAATTACATCCTTCCCTACTTTTGAAGATTCGATTT